TTTGCCCAAAATATTAGGGAACTGTGTGACAGAAGCTTTTTTTTCTTTTTGCTAAATAATCATTAGGCTTGGCCGGAACTAGCGTTATTCTAACATTAGATTTATTCAAATTAACTACGTTATAGCTTAGGCTGCCAACCAATTTGTTTTATCTATTTACTATACCGCTATTCACGTGTAGGGTGCGAGACGAAAAGCTTCCATAGCTCCTAATATGCCAAGGAAAAAGACGATGATCCACCATGACCCCATAAAGGACCTTTACGGTATCATATTCCTTACCTCTGGTTGGACAAACCCAGATAACTTAGTCGCCAGAATTATCAAAGCTATTTTTATTATGAAACAGTCAGGAAAGTTGCACTCTTGAGAGACGTCGTTTGAATTCGTCTGAAGCACTTGAAGGGAACGTAAAACTTACACATCCAGCAATGCTACGTGAAATTTGTAAAAATGTAAATTTTTCATAAAGCTACAGAAACAAACAAGTTATTTAGGTTATTCAGCTTGACAGAAAATGTTACTCAATATTGTTTTATAACATGTTTTTAAAAAAATACTTATGAGAAATAGTAATAGTAAACAAGCAATGTTCGTGCCGCATTAGGCGGCTAGCTATATATATATATATATATATACATATATAACTTATAAGCTGGGCAGTTTTCTAAGTTTCACACATTCGTCGAAAAAAAAGAACACATTTGCACATTGATAATAAGCTCATAAGTGACACACGTACTACCGGATTTAAACGTTGTGAATACTATAATATCTTAAAGCTCTGTATCAGCGTAAGGTCTTCGTTGAATAGTTCTTTCTGAGGAAGCCTTCCTGTAAGTAAAACAGGAAATTACAACAAAATATTCCAATAGAAAGATGCTTTCAATTAGAATTAGATTATATTTAGATATTTATACTATTAATCAGCGTTTACGTAAATTCGTGACATTCGAAAATAGCCAGTGTATTACGAAACGCGTTATTCAAATCATGGTTATGTGTGTGATATTATTAAGAAAAACAAGTGTAAATTTTAAATTGGAAACCTTTATCTAGAATAAAGGTGGCACAAGGAATTGAATCCAGCACGCGTACCATTCCCAGTGCAATAGCCCGATGCACAACTGGATGTAATTGAAAGCATAAAAGGTAGCGTGAAGTTAGATCTACGCTGGTTCGACCCACGCAAAAAACGGGTTGTAATGATTTGACTTCTCTGTTTATTTTCTGCAGAGATTTCTTATTAATGAATTGATACTTAACTCAAAGTAATTAAAGGTCCTTGATTGTAAGTAATGTACTCCATTAGATACCACAAAAAACGGTCTATGAATGTCTCTTCAGTTCCATCTGGAACTTCGCGCTTTGTCCGATGATTATATATCGGTCAGTAAAAGAAAACCGAAAAAACTACGTTAGGGAAAGCTGTTAGAAAAACTCTTCTTAGACCCCAATTGTAGTGTGTACACACGGTGCCTGCGTCTTTGATTCTTTTCTCCGTCTGTCGTTTCCCGACGCTATCAGCCGCATCGCAGACATCAGCTGATTTAGTCGCGAGTCCTCATAGATTTATTTTCGAAGCTAGTCAGCTTCGAATTTGTAGTGTCCAGTAGATCACCAGGTCTCAGTTTATCATTGTATTTTTTTTTACATAGACTGACCTAGCTAACTTCTGTGTGATAATACTTGAACCATAAACGAATATTCATAGAAAATCTTTTGCCACAGGGGCACAGTATGTTGTGTCGCAAAATAATAACAACAAGGAACATCACAAGTATCCCCGCAACTACTGATCCACATGTTGGTCGAGCTAATGTCGCGACTGCAAAAGGCTAGGAATAAGGACCCTTTTCCAGGCTAAAAGACGTCATGGAGAGCGCAAACAAAAGAAGGATATTTAAAATAGCCAAACGCCTGTTCTTTGCCGTCCGGTCGAACGTTAATATACAATGGCGGTTTCGACACAGACGTTTACATCGGAGCGGAAACATTTGAGTGAACTTCAATCAATGCAGCCATTGATTCACGTCGCGAATTGTGTGTGTTTATGCGCGGGAACGTACAATGTAACAATCAGTCCATACTTAAATCAAACTCTTTATGCAATTCAAAAAACAACTGCCTTCTTCACATAAAACAGACGACTGGAACTTATAAAAGAACATATTGATTAGACGCCACCATAGGAATATACAGATACAATTACTATATTGATAGCGAGATGGATATGTAAAATTTTAATTTCGGCTTCTCCTTTCTTCGTCGGCCTGTGCGATAATCTCTTCCAGTCCATTCTGAACATTGTACGCTGGACGTTGAAGGGTTAGACGAGTTTTCACACAGCTTCTGATTTTGAAAGTCCGAAAGATGATCTTTCGTCCATCGTCGCACTGGTATTCGTAGCTCTTTCCGAGCAACGAACGCGTTTCAGCTTCTACGACGCATTTTGGGCACTCTAACTGCAAAATAAGATTGTATCACAAGAGATACGCGTACTTACCTCTGCTCGTATAGAAAAAGAACTGCCCACTCGATACAGAAACCCCCTCGCATGAAACGTGTTCATCATATTGTTGGTGCTATAGTGACTGCAGGAGACGTGTGAGTCCTTTTTAAACTTTAGCAGCACGATCCAACGGTAGGTAAGTATTACAGCTATATGTCTTTAAGTTAGTTCAAGCTAGTTACATTATTACAACCTACAAGCTGATAGAAAAAGGTGACTCGTACTGGCCAATAATAATTTTTTTGATAATACTAATTATTATATTATTACTATTATTACTTTTGAGTATCATAATGAGGAAAGAAAAGGTATCTTGGAGTTTTGGAATGAACAAAGCATTCTTTATGTAGTCATCCCGGAACTTGCACCAAGGATGAAAATTAGTGCATTAGAGGTCCAAAGTGTAAGAGGTTCCCTTTCAACTTTTTAAACACAGTCCGTTCGGTAACAGATAATCGATCTGATAGAAGAAGCTCTGCGACACGTCAACCGGCCGATGATATTCTCGATTCGCGTGAGCTAGCGTGATTTCTAAGCCAAATTGGATAATTACAATTTTCCTATGGAACCCGTCAGAGGCTAGACAATGACAGACACTACTCATGGGTGTTGGCCGGATATTTATACATCTTTTCCATAACAGTTCACTTGACACCTTAGATAAACCTGATTCGTGGAAATGATGTAAAATTTGAACAAATATTGGATGCCGAATGGTTCCAACGTTAGACAATAACGATGAGCTTCCCATATGAGGTATATACTAATCAATCTCTGCACCGACATACATAAGTCTATTGGAACTTGGAAAAAAGCTCATTTTACCGGAAGTTACAACATTCGGTACAGACGCAGTATCCTGAATAATCAGCGGTCAGGGTGAACTGATGCTTGTCTGAGTGTCTCCAAAGAGAAACGTTCCGCGCGAACGTTTAAGTAAGTGCTAGTTCTGATTTATGATATCACATAGATCGTCAATTTTATTGATTTTCACAGTATACGCCCATTCGTTTAAGTGGTTATTTATTGTCCAGATACTGGCCGCTTTTTCCACTTTTTACGGGTGTCCATGTACTCGAGCATGAATATCATTAATGGTAGAGATTAGGGATAACAGCGCTCTTGTTGAGGCTCGTCAACGTTCTACGCTGCACACAGCCAACGAATCAAATTCAACAGCAATTGTGACCAGTCTTGCTGAATCATTAGCGTAGCCCGACTGATCGATACAAGACGCCATTGACTATTTCAGACATGCTGCGTATGAGTTTCGTGTTCAATTTCACAAGAGACTAGTTGAACAAACAAAGCTTCCTATTTAATAGCATAAAGACACTTGTCAAGTAACAGTAGCATCATAAGACGAGACGACTTCCTGCTGAAACCTTTATAAAAGGTGGCACTAGATTTTTGTTCTAGTTCATTTGTGATCGCGTATATTGAACGCATTGGTGTGACAAAGCAAACTGAATAATAAATCTTGTTTATTTTATAGTAATTAACCTATTCGCTTTTTATTTGATTCGTCGACGTTTTTTACAAATATTCACATTCAGTTTGTCTTGAAAATTATATTGTGCATAAGCGGTTCGGTCTAAAGAAGGGTGCCGAAGACAGTCTCGTGAGAGGGACGCAGATTGTAGCGCATGCATAACTATGAACCACCGAAAATCCGGGTGACTCGTGGTGGATTTTCAAAAATCCATAAAGACCCACTGTGTTGTTGGCTAGGACCTGCGCTTATGCAAGCTTCATTCGTTAAAGTGCGTTCAATTTCATCACTCAGAGTAATTATGATATGACGTAAGAATGACAAAATACTATAATCTGGAGGAGGGGGGGGGGGATACTTCGGTATTGCAATATGCAACTTCCACACATACTCTTTGACGTTTCGGGTGACAGCAGGAAACTTTACTGGATGACATCGAAGGCTTAGTTCATCCAAGGTGACTGTGTAGATAACAGTGAAATATTTCTTATTTAAAACGATGTCGCTAACTAAAACTATGTTTCAAACCTCATATTATAAATAAAATCAATCGAACGTGATGTAGATATCCAGCTTTAAATACTAACTACGGTATAATGAAACAGAAGAGTACGGCGAATGATAATTCGAGCATAACCAAAGGCCAAAACCTTTTGCATGCTGGAATTGTCCCTATATTTTATCGAAGAACTATCTGCTATTGCTGTTATAAAGGACTGTTTAGCCTTAAAAATATGCAAAACACTTCATTTTGTTCATATCTGCTGTGAAATCTGCTACAGAATATTTCAGATACTGCGCACAAGTGGTGGCTTAGCTTCGAGCGCAGTGAACATTATAATATATACAAGTATATAATAATCAAACAACTTCTGTCGTAACTGCTTTTAATTTATTGTAAAACTAGTTACTTTAGAGAATCAGTTTTAGTTTTGATTTCGCCTTTGGGGCACCTGTGGAACTGCTCATGAAGCCATTTAGAACGACTACGAAATCTGTTTTGTGGACCTACTTGGCTTTCTCAACATCTGTATAACAACGGTCAGTTAATGTAAATTTACTACCAAATCAATGTTTTCCAATTCTTTTATTAATCATAATCATTCTCATAGTAGACGAGTCATTCAGCAGCTGAGACCGCATTTCGCGTACATATAAATTTATATCGTAAACGAAAACTAATAGTTTTCGTTGCGTGCTAACTTCTGAGATTAATAATCTCAGAAGATAACACGCAGCAAATCTCTTCCATCTTATCAGGCATATATTCGTCGATCAATTGAACTCGATATGATTCGGGTATTGAAAAGTATTGTATGACACTGAATACAACATGGGTGACGCAGCTGTTAGGGCTTGAGACGCGTAACCATGGCGTACAGAGTTCGACTCGCACTTTAGGGTAAAACTTTTTTTGTTTTTCTCTTTGATAAATGACATCTAAATACTTAACACCAGATCACCTCCACACGCTCGTAAAAATGTAAAAGGAGTCGTTCGCAACTTTATCACACAATTAGCCAGCATGTTTCCACTGGGGTAATGGTATATGATAACGACTCCCGACCAATTCTTGGATGATTTTGATCACATTCCTCTCAACAGATGTGAAGGCTAATTATATTGCTTGTACGGATGGTATGCTTTTACAGAGATCCTTGATTTTGGCGCAAAACGAAATATACTGTGCCAATCCGATAGTGTTAGCCGAGAGCACATAGCGACTATCGCTTGTTCTTTTATGGAATATTTTTTAGAGGTCATGAAATAAATCATTATCAGATCTGTGAATCTCATTAAATAGCACGGAAAAAGGCAAACATGTAACATAACCTTCGCTGTCCTTTAGAATCTTCACAGGATTATCATTGTGTTTCTAATAGACTAGACAGTTACGGTAGTAATCAGCCGATTTTAATTTTGTTATTCGGCTCCTTTGTAACGTTTATGCTTCTGACCACGCAATCACAAACTTCTTAATACCATGTTAAGGTCGTTTTTTGTCTGTGGTAATCAAAAAAACTTCTAGGCTTATTTTTCCCCATTCGTAATGGATATCCACTAACTTTTCTTTATACGGTGCATAAGCTTTGCTTGCAGGTGCATTTTTTTTTTAGGGAACATGGTAGGACAACTGTAAAATAGAAGATGTGAAAAACAATATAGAACATGGACATCTAGATGTTTCGTGATAACAATCAGTAGATATGGGTAAATATACTTTGACCATCTGTGACGACATTTAAGTTTTTTCTTTATATTTTAATAGTTGCACGCGATTAAGGACGCTTACGACTTACGTGACTACGAAGAAGCAAACCAGAAACTTCTCACAAAGTGGCGAACCGGCGATGCGTGGCACAGAATGAAGGAACAAGTAATTAATAACCTGGACGCCTGGAAGTTGGACTTCAACGCCAAGGTTCCCGACAAAGACCCATTACTCGTTGAGAATTCGCTTAAGGAATTGAAGGAAAGGTAAATTTTTTATTCCTTTTTCTATTGTTTTCTGGTGTCCGGATCTGTTAAACAAACCGGTTTATATATGAACATATGGCTGGCATGCGGAACTTAGGTTCGTTTTATATTTTTGTAGGTATCTAGCTTTTCTAAAGAAAGATCTATTCGCGCTAAGAGCCCGTGCCGACAGTCGCTTAGCAATGGCTTTCCTGTTTCACGTCAAACGGCGACTATTTAAACTTTGATTGGTGATAAAGTGTGTAGTGTACCTCTATATAGTAGGTTACTCTCTACAAAAGAAATGGAGAATGCACTTCAAAAACAAATGATAATTGTGAACAACAAGGATAACCGAAGGATTTTTCAGCACATATCAATTCACCTCGAACACAAGAATCAAAGATGTCCCTGGTTGATAGCGTGTTTGTGTTATTAGTATCTTAACACGCAAATACATGAACAGTTATGGTTCTTATTATGGATACAGAAGAAGAGTACGAATTAGGGGTTGCATGCCAAAAATGATGATGGTGATAGTAACATTTTGGCTGATCGCTGTTTTTCGTTGCAATATAAAAGCTGCTCATTTAATAAGCACAAGAACTGTTGCTTTGTTTCCGTATTTCCTACAGGCTTTCAGATGGCATCCCAGGATGGGAACACATTCTAGATGATAAGCACCTGTTGAAGTTTTTGCGGTATAAGGATTTGAATGTCCCCGCAACGTTTAAGATGTTTGACTTGATTCACAAGCGTAGAATGGCCGAACCTACACGCTATTTTCCAGAAGGGAAGGGCCCGCTTCACTATAAACACGTATATGAGCTTCGATGCGCCGAAGTTCTCCACCATCGGAACCCACGTGATGGCACAGCTGTAGTAATTATTCGGTTGGTTGTGTTTTGTACTAGTGTGTTTAGTTTTTGCCTTAACCGCTTACAGGGTGTACTATACTATTGTCAAATATATTGAAATCATTAATCCAAGACTACGAAAGTCAGAATTGTCTTTTAGTGATTCAATTCAATTCAAAAAGCAAGCGTGCTTCTGTCTACTTAAGATCCCTGTCTGCTCGAATATAAATGTTCCAAGAAGTGATTTCAGCATTGATTCGAGTTGTTTCATGTTAAGCAAAACCTAACACAAGTGACAATGTTATGCTATTTATATTGGGTACTGGGTCAATAATTAGTAAAAAATATTGTCTAATTCAATAAACTTCGTCGATTGGGATCCTACTAGCGTTACTGCTAAATCTGTAGATTATTTTGGATTGATTATCAAGAACATCACCTGTCATAACTTGCCCTGATTACAACAACATGCAAAGTACAGTTCGGTAAAATGTATTTTCACTTGTCATGTCACAAGGATTATTGTTATTGTTATATATAAAAACATCTTTTACAGACATATTCTTGTGATATGATCCTTCTGAACAGCATGATAAGCTGAGAAATCAGTTACAATCCCACGAAAGTTGAAGCACTGCATCATAAGAAAATGCTATCAGAGGTGACGCTAAAATGAAAGTACTAGATAACACAGTTTTACTTTCCGTTAACTACGTCCGATAGCGTTGGGGACTGGAAGCCGGAAACAGGAGTGGATTACTTTACCTCGCAGAACGCGGGCATCTTTCTGGTCGAATACGTTCTTGATGATGAACGTGTTCAGCGCGATGGTGTAACGTTGATAATCGATTTTAAAGGATTCCGTTTTTCGTGGGTTATGCAGTTCTTCCCGCCATCATACTTGCCGGTAAGCGAGTTGCGATGACGATTATGTAGGCGCATTAGTATACGTTTATAGTTAATGCATATTTTTCTCTCACCAATCTACTCATTGTTCCTAATAGCGAGATGACTTAATTCATTATATTTAGAAACTCTCAGACTTCCCCCCTGGTGGCTATTTGGCTATATCAAATGTATTGATTAGAGAAAAAATCGAGGCTTTATTGCAAACTGAAATAGCAATGTTTCTGTACACTCCAACGCTTGGTTGACCAGCTTGGCAATGAAGGATTGCTTTGAATGTTTGTTTTTTCGCATTGTTGTTTACTTTTCATAAACGTCTTGAGCTATTCAGATAAAGAATCTACGTGGATGATGCGCTCAGTCACAAACATATCTGTTTCCATTTCCAGACGATCATAACGACTCTGCAGGATACAGCTCCGATACGTTTTATCGGCATTCATATTTTGAATCAGCCGGTGATGTACAAAATACTTTACGGCATGGCCTATCCTTTTATCAGCAAAGAGGTAAGCTACGCTGTACTTACAAAATGTATCTCTTGATTCTATGCAACCTATTCTAGTACATTCTAGAATTCCGCTTATAGCGACATGTCTTTCCATGCGAAAATCAAGATCAAAAAGATCTAAATTTTCATTGTTTTCATCAATTTCCTGCTAGTAACTAAATTATACTCTCATATATATACAATGGTATATATTATATCATATAATTAAACGCGTATCACCATTGTATATGCATATATACAATAAACGCGCTCAGAAAGGTTCTAATATTCTGATATAGCATATATAGTTTTATAGAAATTAGTTATTGCGCTGACCCAGCTGCGCTTTTTTTTTGTAGTAAATATTAAATATCGTATCATCAAATTGTATTAATAAATTATAAATCAATAGCGCGACTGTACGTTGTTTGTATGTAAAGAATATTATGATTCGATATCCAACTAAGAGCCCACGCGTTAAAGTTGAGACTAGTCTAGCGCATATTTGTTTTACTTAGTACTGACTGCGACGACAACCAGTAGGAATGAACCTACTTTTTGATAAATTTTTCATTGCATTTATTTTCTCTTCCAGCTTGTGAACTAGCCATTGAACTTTGTTTATTTGAATTAAGTCAAACTTATTCTGACTTTAATTTCTTTCCTGCTGTCTTTTTTCAGGACCTCCTAAATTTAAAGTAAGCTAAGTATTCACGATAAATCAAGAGAGTACATCTAATAATTGTCAGAACTTGCTTTTTTTGCTGACTTATTCTAAAAATTTTGATAAAAATTCTAACATAGTTCATACCCTTATAACTTTCTCGGTGCTCTTATTCCGGTTATCGTTGTCTATCGCGACCGCAGAATCAGCAAAAAATTCACTTCCATGGGACCAACATCGTCGCTTTGCAAAAATACGTTGACCGTTCGATCCTCCCGAAGGACCTTCTTGGACCGCAAGAGCCTGACTATATGTGGTTACCCGAAATGGTTTACAAGAACCACGATTTTTTTGTCGCCAGAAGTTATTTGCCGAAAGGCAAGAAAACCGACGGTAAGGAGAAGAGCATACTTCACTAAAAAACGGACTTCCAGTTCGTTCAAGATATTGTGCTATGCTCAGTAGTCAATAGAATTAGGTGAATCCTCTTTTCCAAAATGTACATACGTTCCAATCGGCTAAACTTCCCAGCAGCAGGTATCTAACATGATGTATAATGAATAAAAGTAGTTTACGAAATACCAGTTGTCACAAGTATATGTATATACTGGGACTATTTCATGTTTGGTTTTTATAACATATAGAGTGAGGATGGTTACATTATTCTCTCGTTTGAGAGACTCTAAATATTCTAAATTCATTCTTGAGGAGTCTTGAGTCCCAAAGTTCTGTTCAGTATTGATGTGGCTGCAATCTGTTAGGTAATCAAATTTTACACACGAACAAAAATGGCTTTGTTACTAAATGAATATACTAAAATATATTTATACAAATATATATACTGTCAGATCTTATTGTATAGCTGGGGAGAGCCAAGTACCATGTTGAGCTTATGATTTCCGCTCGAAGAAAATTATGAATGCTGTGTATTTTGTTAATGGCAATAATAATAAACTTATGTGAGTAGAGTCCGTGTAAAACGCAGTGTTCTTCTAGTGGCGGGACTTCTCTGACACGGCTTTAAGTGAGAAAAGTAGCGAATTAATGTCCACCATCTACATTGTATATATATATAGACTCGAAGTGATTTAATATGTAAAAAAAAAGAGATAATTTAGCCACAAATTTAAAAAAATACAAAGCCATATAT